CCACATATGTGGCTTTATTGACCCCAGATTATTCATAAGCTGTGTCAGTGTTGGGAAATGGTAGCATGGACTGGGACTTCTATTGTGCGTTTTTACTCTGATTGAGCACACAGAGTGCTTTCTGCTAAAAGTCCCATTCATGCAGCCCGTAATATCTAACAATCACCCACACACAAACTCTATTGGTCATCAAGGGCAACTTAGGCTTCTGATTGGTAGCTTTACCTGCTGGGCCGCCATCCTTGTAAACTCCCCCTTTAGTATTTTGTGAGCTTGGCGCAGATGGCTTCATTTCCTACAGTTAGGGTGGTTTGAATATTTCAGGACAGCTTCCCTGTTCTCTGTGTGTGTGATTTACGTTGGATCCTGCTGCCCCCTGCTGGTCACTTCTGTTTTCAGCCTATATCTCTGATATTCTTTTTCTCCATCTCCTCCAGGAAAGCTGAAGCTTTTTTAACTTTTCATCTTAAATCTATAGACTAATAACATCATGACCTGTTTTTTTTTTTTGTTTTTGTTTTTTATCTCTTTTCAAAAAAAAAAAAAAAAATTACAATCAGTTTTCTTGTCCTGCAGCGTCCCACAGCCAAGGAGCTGCTCAAACACAAGTTCATCGTCAAACACTGCAAGAAGACATCCTATCTCAGCGAGCTGATTGACAGGTACAGGAGGTGGAAGGAGGAGGACCACAGTGACAACAGTTCAGACGACTCTGACAGGTATTGTCTCTTGATTTAGCTGGAACTTCGTCTTCAGGTGTATGTGAGCAGAGAGGTCCGACATCTATCTGTGCATTTAAATGTGTTCATTTTTTCTTTAAGTGAATCTAGTAATAAGGAAAACAACGAGTCTCCAGAGTGGTCCTTCACCACTGTCCGTAAGAAGAAGCAGGACAAGTCAGATAGCAGGACCATCCTCAATGGAAATGTTAGTACCACCTGTGTGTGTTACTTTGTTTTTTAACTTGTAGTTGTTTTTACTTGTATTTTAAAGTCAAATCAGAAGTATGGTCCATAATGGTCTCGCTAGTAATGCCTCAGTCTCAATCATCTAGCCGGACCAGCCACTTTATTAGTTACACCTTGCTAGTACTGGGTTGGATTTTTTTTTAATGCAATATGAGGAAGTCGGAGGTCAGTATAACTCAGATTCTCACAGTCTTTTGTTTTCTTGTCCTCTTCATCCTTGGGTTCAGGATCAGATGAGTAAATCTGCCAGTCTCACCACAGTCATCTCCCCCGTCTTCACAGAGGTTGGTATACACAAGTCTCCTAAACATCAATACACTCATCCTTTTGTTTCAGACACTGTTTTTGGGACCAGGGAATATGTAGTTATCCTGCCATTGATTTTGGGCTTTTGTGCTGATTTTTGTTGGAGGGTTTTGTGGTAACCCGAGAGAAGTGCGCTAAAATTAAAAAAAAAAAAAAAAAAAAGCTTTTCAAAAATGATTCTTATTGTTCAACTTCTTCTGTAGTTGAAGCAACAGCACAAGGAGCACTCTGAGCAGCGGTTGGCCATCGAGGAGCTGGAACGCAACATTCGAATAGCTGAAGATATCTGTCCAGGCATCACGGACAAGATGGTCACGCATATCATTGCCAGGTACCAGAAGTGTAACCTTTTCTAAATACAGCGCAGCGTTGCGTTCCGGTTTCTTTCAATTATTTATGACAACCTTCTCTCATTACTCAATTTCTTTTATTGGAAGTTAATTCTCTTATTTATGCCAGAATATGATGCTTTTATTTGCCCTTCGTCCTGTTTCTTTCTCCCTCTTTTACATTATTCAGAACAGAACATTTGTATCCTCCTTCATTTGTTAACCAAATATCTTCCTCCTCAGATACACAACAAATTGAAAGACGGATGGATCGACCCAGGAAAAAGAAAAAACATGAAGAGAGAGAGACTGTGTTTCCTTTACGGTGACGCTGCTGGATGATGAAAATAAGGCAGATTTGCTGTGCAGTATCTGCTTGCTGTACACCCACACCTCAACACACACTCACACGCATGCACGCACACACACTACCAATGTAATATATACACTATATTAAACATATACATATAAATTCCCTGCTGCTGGTTGAAAACCTTTTATCTCCCTATGGTTAATTAAAAAAAAAAATCCACAACAATAACGAAAATAAAATCTGATGTATAGCTTTTATTTCTGATCTGACTTTACCATAATGTGCCTTAGTTCTTTTTGTTATCAGTCATTTTCTACATTTTCTGCTGTCACTTGTTTTCTTAAGAGGTTTTTGTAGAAATGGCTCACGAAGGAAATGTAATACCAAAGAAGGTTCTCGTCCATCAGCAGTGGTATGTTTTTGTGTCATGTTTTTGTGTCATGAGTTGCCTGGAGTCTGTAGATGTCTTTATTCTTGTTTAGTAGCACTTGAGACAGATGATATGCCAATATTACATTTGTTTTTTTATTTTTGTTTTTCAGTAATGTCTTTCAGTTACAGTTCCCTGATCCCAGAATTCATTCAAGGTGGTTTCTGTTAAAGCAGTGTAGATCCTTCAGTTTTACTGTTTTGTACAGCGACTTTCTTGAATATTCAAGGTGAAAAGCCTCCTACTCTAAAATGGTACAAATGTGGGGAATTTATGGAACTTTTTAATGTCCAAATGTTCCTAAACTTTTAAATTTCCTCATCAAGTTTAATAGCTTATCTCCAGTCTCTGGCTAGCTTGGCTAGGTAGCCAGTTGCTTGTTAACTGGTAGGCTAGCTGTTATTGTAGCTACCCAAAGTTGCTGGCAAAATATGAGTAGTTAAAATGCTGAAAATGGCTGCCATGTGAATAAGGCTGGTTTAGTTACTTTTAGTAACAAAGCCACTGGCAGCACACAACTGTTAGTCCAGATTTTTTTTTATGTTAGTCTTGCTAGCCAAATAGTTAGTAGCTTGCTAAACAATAAGCTAGATAGCTGTTGTTGTTACTGCCCTTCTCTAATTAGCAGCAGTTAAGGCTTTAATCACAGAGGCTTAGAGACCAATCGGTGACCTAGTAGAGGGGGGAAAGAAATGTTTAGTCCCCGATTGATTGGCAAGTGGTTGCTGGAGTATTCTTGCACTTGCTAGCTTCAATGCAAACCTCCTACCAATTGCTTTGGTTGCTAGCAGATTGCCACAGTTGTTTGTAGTTTGTACGGAAGATGAAAAAATTGTCTACACTGATCAACTACACCAAGTGGTAATGAAACCTTGAAAAATGTGGTGCCAACTGGAAACAAAGAACGTTCCTTTGTAAGTTTTGCCTTACCACTGAAACCAATACATTTCATTAGGCGCATGTCCTCTGTTTCCATTACAAATTTTTTCCAGTTTGACTACCACTCGGTGTTTGGTTAGTGTTTGCAGATAAGTCGCCATCTTCTATGCAGACTGCTGGCAAACATGGCAAGCTGCAAGTGACTGAAGCAGTCACGAGTCTTTCAGTGCAACACACTCAATGCAAACACGTTTATCACTTGCCAACTGATTAGGAGGATACGCCTTCATTCTTAGCAACTGGAGGTTACCATGCAGTCACTGACCGGTCTTTTTGACTGAGGTACAGGATGTTAAAATGATGAAAATGGCTGCCATTTGGTGAGTGTAACTACGTTTGATAACCCACACCCAGTAAGATTGAAGGAATCTTTTTTTTTTTTTTTTTTAAATTAAAGAATACATGTTGACATGTACTTATGACACAAAGGTCTTCCAGTGGCTGCTTCATTATATGTAGCATTTTGGAAAACTTGGTAAGTTTCAGATTGTGTCAGAAAGTTTTACGATATCTTCCTTAATAGACAACATTGGAAAGTAGCGCAGGTTTTTTCAAGGGCATGAAGGGACCTGCAGTTGAAGGTGTTACTGATAGTTTGTACCAAAGACACTATAAAATTCAGTCGCTGTATATTTGTTTCGTTTTTTTTATATATATCATAAGGGATACAATGCTTGTTGAGGGGTAGATGTAAAGTGAAAGATGTAAGATTTTACAGCAATGTACTCATTTTTTGTAGCGGGACTTAGAGTTTTATGAATAAATATTTAAGTTTGATTCAACTGCTTTCACTGGGTTTTATTCAGTGATTATGAGTTCCTTTATTATATATTTTTTACAATCTTGCACTTTATTAATTTTAACACAATTGTCTTCTTGTTTTTAATCCTTTAATGACAAAATGCGACTGTAATATATATAAACCCAAAGTTCACTTTTTTCTACAGAAGTAACAATACATTATATAACTACATCACCCAGAAAATGATTTCACCAACATTATGAAGGCATCATACCCACACACAAAGACTTTATATTTAAGTCCTAGAAGGTCTTTTTCCAACAGACATCAAGATTAATTTAGTCATTTTCACACAGATTAAAAATTATTTATTTTTTATTGGTGTTTGATTATTTATTATTATTGTTTTGCTCTGTTTTTAAACCATTGCCATTAGTCTGAAATAATGTCTCCAAATACAGCAGTATGTCAACATTAAATAACACAACCTGAAATTCAGATGATCTGATCGGGATCAAATTAACCACCATTTTAGTCTGTGGGAAAGGTTAAAGCCAGCACAACTACCACATTGCTAATAGTTCGCTGGTCCAGTGGGATCAAAACAGACTCCACATGACTTCAGTCCAATCCACACAATCTGTGAATGTTAGATTCCAGTGCTTGATAGGCTGGATTAACTGGTAAGGGTATGGCTAGTGTTTGCATATAACTATAAATGCATATAAACGGCAACAGGGATTTCATTCTCTCTTAGCGTTTTTGTTTTTTGTTTTTTTTGGATGTAGCAACAAGGGTCTTTGTTGATACACATGTCGCTTATGTTTTACTTTGGACAGTCAGTGAGGACGATCACATAGAAATATAGACAATTATGGACGATTAAAGGTAATGCCAAGAATGCAGATTCTTGGCGTATTCTTTGTACTTTAAAACTCAGTTACACACAGATCGGTTGTTGTTCCCTTGGCAACAACTATTTAGTATGCAAAAAATATGTTTTCCCTTACCAGCTGGCAGTGGAGGTTGCTGCCTGTGGTTAGCAACATCAAAGATGATAAAATCAACACTTTCCAATAGATGCACTTTTCAGAGTTTCACCACCACTAGGTGATTGTTTGTAGTTAAGTCTCCGTCTTCCACGCAAACAGGATCACCGTAGTGATCTGCCAGTGAGCAAATCAATCAAAAAGAAGTTTTCAGTGCAGTACCATATTCATTTAGCCGCTCTCACTTGGCATCCACTGCCCAGTCAATTGGGGAATACAGATTTTCTTTATCTACCAAGATTTCAGGGGGGTTGTGACCAAACACTCTCCTTTTTTTTACCAGCAACTGATAACTTGTCCAGATATGATAAATTCTGGCTCCAAAAACTAGTGTAACAGTGGCCGAAAAGCTAACGTCACAGTTGCTTCATCCATTTGTTTTTTTCAACCTAGGTATGCTTTTCACACATGTACTGCACATAGCTATAGAGTGCTTCAATGAAAGGGGTTACAAAGCAAAAAAGCAACATAGGCACTGGTCTGCAGAAATGTGGAAAAGTGATACGTTTGGGTGAGCCATTCTTAACCATACTGTCAATAAGTGAGAGACTGCATAAAAGACACACATAAAGACATCAAGAGAAAAGCACAGCCTAGAATGCTCGGCCCTTAGAGCATCTGTTGACTCTATTAAGACATTTGGGGTATTTTGCGGTTTCCTTTTTCCGAGGGGCCACGTTAGAAACTGGGACTTTTTTGGATGGCCACACCAATAAGCTTAATTGATGCAGCCCTGCAGTCCCAGTTTCTCATGTAGTCCCTTGGAAAAATTATTGGCCCACCCCTGCCTTAGAGGGAACGAAAAATGAAAACCAATAGAAAGTTGTTCTGGTTGACCAGTTGTATGGGATGTGAGTGGTCTATTTCAGGATGACAGTGCCTCCACCTATATATGGGCCTACCTTATAGTTAACACGGCTTAAGGAGTAGCCTATGAACTTCACAGTCACCAGATTGCAACTAAAATTAACATCTTCAGGAGACCAATGTGTCTCCATTTGATGATCATCATCAAGACATGAAATGAGGGAAAATATTTAAGAAACATGGTGCCCATACCCCTCTGGTAAAGGAATGTTTGAAGAGTTAATGTTGTAGTGGCTCAAACACCTTAACAAAAAATTTAAATTGTTGTCTGCTTTAATTTGTCAAACATCTTTAATTTCTAAAATACTAATTATTATTATTATTATTGTTATTTATTTACTTGTTTTTGTAAGCTTGCACCTATAAAATAGCCACTAAAACAGTAGCCCCTTTTCAAAATCTGAGGTTTTCACTTGAAGAAGGCAAAAAAATACATTTCATCTGCCAGTGCACCTCAAAACGACACACTTCTTATCTAATACATTTATCGTGTTATCTACAGTCTGCAGAGGATATGCTATTTTAAATTATCCTTCCAGTTTTGACTGTGATCATGAATCGCTTTAATGTTTTAATCTTTTTCTACAGCGTCACTTCAGTAACCTTTGCCGCTCCTTTCGTATCCGCTCCTCCTTCACTCTTTTCTTTCTTCTCCTCTTCACCCTCTGGCTCCTTCTTTGCAGTTTCATTTGCTGTTGCATGCTCCCTCTCTTCCTCCTCCCCCTCTTCCTCCTCATCAAGTTGGAGACTCCCCGATGAAAACCTCATCCTGGCTAGACCAGCGGACCGTACCATCTTGCCTACCTGAGGGGCAGGGCAGTAGTATGGATAGAAAACCTCCGGGTCTGAATCGCTGTAGCTTCCCGCAGTGCTGCCAATCATACATAGTGAACTGGGGCGTTCAGGCAGAGGGGAAGAGTTTAGTGGGAGGTAGGTGGGTCTGGAGGGGCGCGTCAGGTGGGGGTAGTAACCAAGAGGGCGAAACTCAGAAGCAGGGTTAAAGGCAGTGTTTGAGCTCCTCGAGAGGTTTAATTTGACATCAGGTTGGCTGGCTACACGGCGAGGCAGTCCAGGAAGGAAGTTGGAGTCATCGCTGTAATGACCCGCCTCTGTATGTCCAACGCCCCTGAGTCTTGCACCATTGCTTCCTGGTTGGTACATTCTGGCCAATCCCAGCCCACCTGAACCACTAGAGCGGAGGTTTCTCCTGATTGGTGAACTAGATGGCGAATCGTGACACATTGGGTAAAAAGATGGCCGTGTTATGCCATCCATTGTCACATAATCCCGCCGTCTTGTATGTGGAATTCGTTCCAGTGAGGAAACGGTAACAAATTCCGACAAGTAGGGATGTCGGTTGAGTGGCGAGGAGCCAGCTAATGGGAACGATGGGAGGACAGGATGATACTGGTAGGCAGGGCTGTTAGGGTAGAGAAGGACCAGCTGCTGTCCTGCATCTGGATGTGGCTGGGGGTTGGGTCGACGTCTAGATCGATTTCCATAGACACCAGCTAACCGCTGGGCTTGGCGCTGTGTCCCGATTCGTACCCCCCTTGCGTCCTCTACTACAGATATCGAAGCAGATCTCGTCTTCAGTGAGGGTGAAGGCGGCGTTGTCTGGTTGACAGATGGAGAAAGAGGAGTGACTTGGGAGAGGAGGCGAGGCCTCTGGCTGACCTCAACACATGAATGGCTGCGTTTAGCCACTCTTTCGTTGATTTCAATATCATTGTCTCGATGATGCGGGTCCAGCTGATCCTGGCTGTGTATTGCCAGAGCACGACTTGACCGTGGGAATGGGTGGGAATGTTCGTACACCTGAGAAGAAAAGGCACGAAAACTTGAGTTGTTTTTATTACTAATATTTTGATTATGCTACCATTAATTAATTCGCTCATATGATATCAGAGTATGTATGTATTAGATAATATCAGAGAACTGTAAAAAAGAAGAAAAAACGGCCCAAGAACATGTAATGAAATTTCGAAAAACCCATAGCTCTTCAAGTTAATTAAACAAAATCATTAAAAACAGATAATAGAACAGTAGCTGTTTTAATTTTGTCAGACATGAATATGCTTTGTGTGTCAAGTAATAGTTTTAAAGACTGAACAGTCATATTTATTACCTGTTTGGAGACATCTGTGAGGAGATCAGGAGAAGATCGACATTGTCTGGGGTCACAGTCTGTCTGACTGTACATCCTGGACAGACAGAGAAAGGAATAAAATAACGGATGTTATACACAGACTATAAAAATTGATCACAAAATATTCCTCTGTTCCAGATCCTTTGACCTTTACATAAGATGGCTTAATAAAACATGTTGCCGTTTCAAGTACTTAAAGCTCCTTGCTTTTGAAGTACATGCATAAGCAAGTTTCTTGCTTATGAAAAGGAAATTGAAGCATCAATAAAATCTCTCTCTCACTTTTCAAAGTGTGAAGGCTTCTTCTCCCCTGATCCCAGACACTCCAGCAGCTGCTTCTGGGTCCGACCACTGCCAAACAACATTACTAACATCAGATGGACACACTACCAGACCTGACTGAAAACAAAGAGTCTGAATATTCATCAGAAGAAAAGGGTAATAAAAAAACGCTCACAGTCCATCATAGTTCTCAGGTTTTTGCTTATAAATCAGCAAATGACTTTGAGCACAGTTTGGTTCAATTCTAACCAATACTATCAGTAGGGATTCTTGTGAGTTGTGGACAGACTGATCACCACGACATGATCTGTCCTTTGGATAAGCTGGAAAGCTCAGGATGGTTTATTCAAACACTACAAGAGTAGGTAAGTAAAAAGTTTTGTGAGTCAAAATATTTGTGTACAAGCTTAAATCCAGATGATGTACCACTAAATGGTTGGAGAACAATTCATGCATAGTAGACACTGGAAGTAAATGACTTTGATTTTGGGCAAAAGATGATTAATATATATATATATGTATTATACAAAAGCCTGAATGCACCTTCAGATTATAGCATTATGTGCACTTGTCTGCATGTTACCTGTATCTGAAGCTGGAGCCTTTACATGACAGCAGAGTTTTGTGTATGGCCTTTGGTTCCTCAGCCAGCCTGAAGAAAGCATGGTACTCCACACACATCTTCCAGAATGATTTACACACATCACGGCTGGCCATGGCCAACTCTAGTGTATCCTTACACGAGGGCTGGATGGACATGAAATAAGACGATGATGAGTCAAATATTTACAACCGCCTCTGTACAGCATGCTGTCTGCACTTCAAGTCCCAAAAAGTCTTCTACCGGAGAACTTAAAAGCCCCCATAGGGTGCTCTGTGGGAACTGGCACCAGTGCTTTAGCTGTAAAACCTTTACATTAGTAACTTGGTAGCTGCTATGGATCGGATTTGATCTTTACATTGCCTATTTGCATGCTGTTCACAAGTACTTAGGACTACTGGCCAGGAGATCTCCACAAAAGCCTTACTCTTTTGGCCAGAATGTTTTGTTCCTTCCAAAGATCTCTTAAATATTTGGACCTGCCCATTTTTCATGCATCCATCACAAGAGTCCCCTGTTCACTCACAGGGGAGTGAGACATAAACTCACTCATTATTCCATACTAAATACTAATGGTAGGTGTGCCAGTTTAGCTAACTGGTTGAGCAGGTGACCACATGCCATATGGCTGAAATGCAGATGTCCAGGATTGAGTCTGGCCCACGGCTCATTTCTACATGTCTACCCCACACCACCACCACCCTTTCTTTTCTACTCTTAACAGCTCAACTATTGAATAACGGCCAAAAACCCCCCCATCCATCCGCTTCCCCTTATCCTTTTTCAGGGTTGCGGGGGAGCTGGAGCCAATCCCAGCTGTCTTAGGGTGGGAGGCAGGGTACACCCCTCAAAGATAAATCTTAATAGGACAAAAAGCAAAACCGTGTGGCCCAAACTGGATCAGTTTCTCACCCCAACTTTATCATGTAGTTTGATGAGGAAATGCTTGCGTTTGAAGCTTAGCTTGCGGATCTTTGCCCAGCTGAATGTGTTGATTTTTGTGTTTCCCTGGAAAAACACAAGAAAAAAATAATGAGAGATTATATGTAATGTGTAGTGTAGCATCTGCACACATATTTGGCCTCAAACAGTGTTCCTCTCCTAAACCTGTTAGTTGATTTTTGAGAAATGCACATGGAAATTGTAAACTTTTATTGGTACTGTAAAAACTAAAAAGGATCACCGACGTTCTCAGGTTTTATCTCTACACATCTCGCATATCTTGTTTTATCTCGCATACAATGAATGATTGTTAGTTTATTAGATCCATTAAATTTATTGTGTTATAACTTCACAAACCAACTTTTTTATGCTAAAACAGCAACTCCTAGCTTAGAAGAAGAGGAAATTTTTCTGATGGAAAAAAATAAAAATATTTGTCCTTTTATGTGGAAGTGGACAAACCTGAAAGACTAGCACTCCAGAGTGTGTGACAGCCAGATTGATCCTCATTCCCTCCCCATCATAGGCAGGGTAAGGCCTGATTCCGTACATGTCCAGCTTCCTCGCCACCTCCAGCAGCTGGATGTCGGAGTTTGCTGGAGAGAGTCCTCTATGGACAGAAACAAAGAATCACAATTACAATCCAGCCTCTGATTTATGGAGAGTTGGATACATTGCTGTTGTTTTGCTGCCAATTTGACCCAGCAGTCACTTCTGCTTTTCCAACAAAATTTCTCCTAGTTAGACTCAAACAACACGTCAAACACATGTTTCAAAAGTGGCATTTTGGTTGGAAACCATCATATTTTCAAATCTATCGTCTTTTTTAAAAGAATCTATGGGTGGGATGGGGGAAAGAGGCGCAGTCCTACGTCCAGTTAATACTTTGCCCTTTCTCTCTGGTCAAAATTAACACTAGTTTGACAAAACTGTCCGCATACTACAGAGCACCAGTGTCTTCTGCTTCACTTCATACCTGTGTTTCTTGTGAAACTTGATGATTTTGTGGTCCAGATATTCCTGGTTGGGAACATAGTGCTTCATCTCCAAATGCTGGCAGTCCAGCTCCTCATCATAGTCCCCTATCTCTGCTGTAGCACAAATGCAAATGCATGCAAACACATATTTAGTTTCTCTGCGTTTTAAATATTTAATTGCAGTATAGTCACCATTTTTGGGCCATTTGGGAAGGAGAGAATCGGAGTGGGTCGTTGCTCTAGAGGGAAATCTTTGACTAAGTAAATGCAGTATATGAAACACATTTTCAAAAACATAATGTATATAATGAATATGTACTCCCTGGACCCTTTATTAGGTACACATGCAGAAAAATGCATGTAGCCATGTAAACATAGGTAAGATTTCCTACCAAAGTTCAAATTTTAGTGTGGCACAGTTGTTGGTACTACATGGGCTCATCTGAGCATTTCAGAGACTGTTAATCTACTGGGAATTTCCCTCACAACCATCACTAGGGTTTACAGAAAATGTCCCAATAAAGATAAAATATCCCACGAGCAGCAGCTCTGTAGGTGAAAATACTTTGTTGATTCCAGAGATTACAGGAGAAGGGCCAGACTGCTTTGAGCTGATAGGAAGGCAGCAGTAAATCAAATAACATGATATGAAGGTATGCAGAAGAGCATCTCTGAATGCACAACATGCTGAACCTTGAAGCAGATGGGCTATAGCCGCAGAAGACCAAATCAGGTGCCACTGTTGTCAGTGAAGGCCAAGAAACTGCCGGTGTAATTGTAAGAGGATAAAATACACATTCAAACAGTTGAACATTGTTTATTAAATGCCATTGCCTATGCCTATCCTCTGATGGCTGCTTCCAGCAGGATAACACACCATGTCACAAAGCTCAGATCATCTCAAACTGTTTTTTTGAACACGACAATGAGTTCACTGTACTCAAACGCGCTGCACAATCACCACATCTGAATCTGAGCACCTCTGGGATGAGCACCTGCGTCTGTGTAATGCTATCATGTCAATATGGACCAAAATGTCTGAGGAACGTTTCCAGTACTTTTCTACGGAGCCCTGCAAGGGACATGGGAGAAAAAAAATTAAGACAGACTTTTGTGAGATCTGGCAAAACTTTTGCCAGATCTCACAAAACAAACTCGGGATCTCACAAAAGTTTTAGCCGCATTCTTTGGAGGCCACCAGCTCGAAGCCGACCGGGAGGTCGAGGCACGATGTTCCTCCCGGCTGTAGTAGGTCTCGACCTCCCGTTAGCTTCGAGATGGTGGGTGTCAGATCTCCAAAAACGTTGGAGCACCTTTGCAAATATGTGATGTCTTGTAAACCGAGCAGATATTTGACGTTTACACAGCTACATTCGCACCTCGAAACATCTTAAAAGTTTATTTTGTGACCCACAAAGAGTAATATTACAACTAAGTTCCATTGTTGGAATTCAACTTTTGCGAGATCCCGAGTTTGTTTTGCGAGATCTCGCAAAAGTTCATCGTAATTTTTTTTTCTGCCATGTCCCTTGCGGGGCTCCGTACTTTTCTGAATCTTCTGCAAAAAAAAAAAAATGACAGCAGGTGTGATGCACTTTGATGCTTACACTGCAGTATGTGAGAGACCAGCAGGGCGGCACTGTTGTCATTACAGGTCAGACTGCCATTAGACAAGTCCTGCTTGATCTGTAAGGCAAAAAGATACCTGTGCACACACAAAACAGTATGAGTACACCTACTCTGGCATTTCACTTATGCTGAACATATATCTCATCTATGCTCAGACTTTACCTGGTGAGGCCTCTCTTGAGTTGTCCAGGATCTGGTGGAAAAAATTTGACTATAAACCTGAAGAATAAATCATTGGTGTCTGACAGAGGGGAAAAGAAAAGAGATTATAGACGCAGGACAATGCTGCAGACGGAGACGCTGAGATCTGGAAATATTTGGAGGAAATATGAAGTCAGAGCACTAATCTTAGGACAGATATGACTTACATTTGATCTGTTTGACCAAAGGTTTCAGCAGCTCCAACCAAACCTGCAACAGAAACTTGTTAAGACATTAAAACCCCCCGCACTGATCTGTGCGTATCTGTGTGATCCAGCGTTTCTTACATAATTGCCACTGTGGTGTCTGAACTCCAGGCCAAAGTACTCCTTCTCCAGCAGTTTCAGATGACCGCACACTTTGTTGTAGAAGTCGCCACCTAAAACCTTTTGCTGGAAGAAAGAGTGGGAGAGAATTAAAGTGAGAAGGATAATAGGACTTTTTAATTGAGACGTTCTTAAAACTAAAGTCCGGGAGTGCTCCTGGGAGCCCAGAAAAATGTGCTACAGCTCAGTTACTTTATCCACTAATACTTTGCTTAATGAGAGTTTGCATAATCATGGCCATTTTTTTTCTTTCATATTTAATTAATCTGTGGAAGATATGCATAGGGGACATTAAATGATTAAAAGACAACAGATAGAAAAAGTTGAGGCATGACAGAGGACAACGGCAGAAAATTTTGAACTGTATCCATGGAAACTGAGACCTTCATTGCTCGTCTTACTTAACCTCCTAATGGTGAACAAGTCAGGCGAAAGGTTAAGATTAGGTTTGTTTGTTTTTTTCACTAGTTCGTTAATTAGGCACAATACTAGAAGGTGTTGCCTTTCAAATGAAGTCTCACACATTTCTTTTGCCGTCATGGTTACAGATCTGTAAAAATGGTGTATTTCAACTAATGTCCCTGACTCTGGATTCCAGTGACTTTCTGGGTCATTGGAAACTCAGTTTGCTGGCAGATATGTATAGATATATAAACCTAAGGGGTCTTCTCTGCCAATGCCAAAAACACAACTATACAGGCTGATTTGTGACAAATGCTGGTTGATGAATGGGATACCATCCCACAGCAGTGTGTGAACGAGCTGGTGACCAGCATGAGGAGGAGGTACCAGGCTGTGTATGGTTCTTCCACATGGTACTAAGGTCCATTTGTTCAATGAATAGACTGTAAACTGTTGCTATGTCTTGTTTCTTCAGACTTCAATTATCCAATCCATTAAATTAAACCAAACAAGACTCAAGAATAAATTGTTTGGCCTTGGCAGAGAAGGTCTGGCTGGTTTTTCATGGACAAAACCCGCATACTCAACTCTGCTGCTCAACTCACAAATGTATTTCTCTTACAAACGTGGCTCCATTTAAAGGGAAATAATGAACAGATTATAACAGATAACAGATATATACACTGCATTCCAAATTATTATGCAAATTATATTTTTCTCTGTTTTTCCGAAATAGTCAATTCAAATGACAGTCGGCATAATTTTCGAGTCATCGACCAACAGAATATAATTCAAATGTTACTGAACAAAACTCCCAATGAAATCAGTATGTTTTTCAAAAACTAAAAAACTTAAAATGCACTATTCCAAATTATTACGCACACAGAGCTTCAAAAGATTTAATAGGTCGTAGAGAATTCAAAATAGTCATTTGTTGAATTTGCAGCATTAGTAGATCAATTTCACTGAAATCAAAAGCTATTTCAATCAAAAACATCTTAACAGATCAAGTTACATATTAACATAGGACCACTTATTTGATAGCAGTTTTACAATTCTTGCATCCATGGAACTTGTAAGTTTTTGGAAAGTTTCTACTTGAATGTCTTTGCAGGATGTCAGAATAGCCTCCCTGAGCTGCTGTTTGGATGTGAACTGCCTCCCACCCCTATAGCTTTTTGCTTGAGGATGCTCCAAAGGTTCTCAGTAGGATTGAAGTCAGGATGGGGACCACAACATGAGTTCCTCTCCTTTTACGCCGATAGCAGCCAATGATGCAGAGGTGTTCCTTGTAGCATGAGATGGTGCATTGTCTTGCATGAAGATGGTTATGTTGCAGAAGGCACAGTTCTTCTCTTTCTACCATGGAAGAAGGTGGTCAGTCAGAAACTCCACATACTTTGCAGAGGTCATTTTCACACCTTCAGGGACCCTAAAGAGGCCGATCAGCTCTCTCCCCGTGATTCTGTCTCAAAACATGACTCCACCACCTCCTTGCTGACGACGCAGCCCTGTTGGGACATGGTGGCC